ATTACAATATGTTACATCGTATGTAGCACATTATATTTTACTGTCACACAATATATAACATAGCGGTGGCAATGGGTTGAGTCAAGCCGGCTCGGTCGGTATACGCATGAGCTCAGCTCGGCTCGTTATTCGTGGGTCGATCGCGGGGCGGGCTCGATTTTTTCAATATTTTTTTTAACTATACATGTTCTAAACCTTAAAACTTTATTTTAAAAAACCCTACTCGGCTCGGGTTCGCCTGTGAGCCGCTTTTTTACAAGTCGAGCCGACGAGCCGCTCGATTTGGTTGTCACCTCTAATATAATATTCGTAACACGAAACATGAGAATCATTGACACACATACTGACATGAACAAGATTGATAAAAAATAGCATGAAATTTTGATTTTTGATTTTTCACCTTTTTCCATTGGAAAGTTATCAACTTCTTGATCAACTATTTTTGTTGTCAATCCAAGCCTCCATAGTTTATAATTCCCAAGCGTTCAACATAAACTTCACTCGTATCAACACTTGAAAAATGAGTAATATATATATGAAGCAAAGTGCATTTTACCTGTGAATCATGTTACTTGTTACAGAAAATATAGCACATTATGTTACATTGTAACCACGAAGAATTTCATTAAACTAGAATGAACTCGGAGTCATTTTCCGAACTAACCGATTTTGAATACTACAAGTGATATCTACATCTTCAATAATGGCATGTAGAATGATATTAATGTAAAGTTTTAAGATTTTTTGTGTATTAAAAATCTAAATGAATTTGAGTGATTGTATAAATTACGGTTTCAAATAAATGCTTTACCGTACATTTGAGAAAATGAATTTGAGTATTTGGCGATAGATTTTTGGGGTTTGTGCAGTATGGATTTTGGTTGGAATTACACTAAGGCCGTGTTTGATAGGTCACATTTTTTGGGGAAATAGGAAAATATTTTTCACTTTCCACTTTTTTGACTGTTTGATATGCGAAATTTTCCACGAAAAATATTTTCCGGATTTTC